AAAAAAAAAAAAAAAAAAAAAAAAAAAAAAAAAAAAAAAAAAAAATGTATGTTAGTACAAGTACATTGATTGAGGCACATTACAATTATATAACTCACATTGCGTAAACCCGACAGGTCGAATTGTTGACTCGCTGATCGCTTGCAAGGCGTCGTCTGTCCTCGAAGAAGTCTTTGAGAGCTGTAACGCCGAGTACGAAGACGACGGGTATCATGGCGACCTCCTTGCCGAAGGCATTGATGGCAGGAACCCAGTTTAGTAATACTATGAAGATAAAGTAGAGATTTGCGACACGGTGGAATTGCTCCAAGAGGTTACGTGGCAGGAAGCTCAGTGCCGTATACTTCGTTGTGCGTACCCTGGACAGACATGGAACGGAACCACTATAGGAACAGCTAACTAAACTCCGGGTATAATTATATTTTAAAAAATTAGTAAAATTATTATACAAAGGAAAAAAAAAATATATGACACACCTGTTGTCCACCCTGATGCCATTGGGATGCTGACTCTTTGGCGTCTTTGGTGGTACCAGATGATTTGGGACTATAGTTCTGAGTCGCGGTTCCTCCGGAATGGACCCAAAGCATCGTGCCCACGCTCTCCTCCACCATGGTGGCGCTGCGCTACGTCGAATAGTGTATATCGACTCTGACCTGTATCGAAAGCATCAAAAAGGCTCACCGTAGTATCAAGCTGTATTATTTAAGTATAGGTATATCAGGAACGATTTGATAATCGTAGAGTCTCTGACGCGGGATTATAATTACGTGATGCGTCAATGACGAATAATTGTAATAACAAGGACTTGGGTCGGAATTAGAGGCGCAAAGAGGTAAATCCGGACGTGACGTCCCGTATAATAAATTGAAAGCCGGCTTCTCTTCCGAACGATTCTAAATAAATCTATCTATAGAAACTTTAAGCAGAGGTTAAGAGTGTACGGCTTACTCAAACAGTTCGTAACGTGCAGTCCATGGCATTATATCCCGAGCCTATATACACTGTGTACCTAATAATACCAGAGGGATTCCATTAATCGGGTGTACCTTCAAGCACGCGTATTACTTATTTCTCGCTGGTGGAATCCTTTGCCGGAAGTTGAGTGATACCGATTAAATAATAAAAAGAAAAATCAATGGCCACGAGTGCAGAAGCGAAAGAGCAGACTAGGAAATAATTGAACTGACCTGGAAGCTTGCCGGGAATGGCCACGAAAGGAAGGGACTTTGGAGTTGCTGGTTGGTCTTGGTTCTTCCCGATGTCCAGGAGGCAAAATGAAGTCGGTCTTTGAGCCAACGCGGCTGTGTCCGCTCACCGGTTGACCTTGTACATCCACGACTTGACCTTGGCTGAAGGCCCTCTGATGACCTGGCTTCTTCAAGGCCGAAGGTCGACCCAACGCACCAGCCGAGACGGCCTGCAAGCTCGAGCTCGCGAGGACTCCGCCGTGACTCGCCGACCTGGCATGTGTCTTCGAGTTCACCGGTCTTCCTGTTCCTAATCCTATCCCTGCGCTCACGACGTTCGACAACGTCGTTGAAATCGTCGAGACACTTGGCTGCGGCTGGTTCGGTAGCGGCTGCAGCTGCTGCTGCTGCTGCTGATGTTGATGAGCTAGGCTCGGTGAGGATGACGTTGATGAGGATTCGGATACCAGAGATAGGGCTAACGACAATGGCGGAGGTAGTGACGGTTGACCTGGACCTGGGAAAACGTAGAGCGACGAGGTCCTCTTCTCGGTGTCGCACGCTGCTGCTTGCACGACGCTCTCGGACATACTGGCACATCTGTTTGATAAATCAAAAATATTTTTTATTTATCAAATCACCTTCGTAAGTCAGGTCGATGACGAACGACTAAAATCGGCACGCTCGTCTATAGCCATATATCTTTACCTAGGATCACGTATCAGTTACCTTGAACAGACTATAGATCCACAGGTATACAAAACTCAGGAAGAAAGTCAAAGACGTAGAATATCATTGCCATCGGACTGTTATAAATATTCCAATTCACAGTATAATATATTTTCAAATGCGTCTCGTTGTAAAAGATCAAATTTTCAAGAGGATTTCGATAAATATTTTATTTTCTTCGCATATCCGGTTCCTTTTGTATCTCTTACGTTTGATTTCAGTTTTGTTTAATGAAACTTGTGCTTGTTTACCAAGACTGTAAACCGATGCACGTAGCTAAACAAAAAGTTTGGAACGTCTACATGTGTTTGGGCACGTGAATAATTAGTGAAATTTCAAGAGATTTCGAACGAAGAGAAGATTATAGATGAGTTTGATAACAGAGTGAATTATTGATATTATCAGCAGCATGGATTAATTACCGAAAGTGGATACTGTATCGTAAACCGCGAAACACTTCTGACAACAAGTCAACATAATAAACAGAAAATCACATAGCAATTAAATTCTCTAAATTATCGAATCAGATGTCAGACACTAAATTTTATTAATATAATTTATGCGAGCAATCAAGTGACTTCAAGTTGCAAAACTGAAAAAGCGAAAAAATCAGTTTACAATTGTACGATCTTTCGTTATAAAATGAACACCGATAACGGTTCTATACCACTTAGAATAATTTATCAATAATTATCTGGCTGAAACCATTGTTTCAACGAGGCATTTAAATTAAACTCTTTTCCACGTGAAATGATTTCAAAAAATCTTCATCTAAATTAAACGTCCAAATTTTCACGAAGCTCTAAGCGTCCCCGTCGCTTCGCGTTTAACGTGTAATGGCGCCGAAGAGCTGATGTATCATTTCCATCTTTTTTCTTTTCCTTCGAGAAATTACATTTTCACCCGAACGAGCATCACCCAATGGTGCTGAATAACAACTGTAAGAATTCACTGTAAGAATTACTTTCTATGACAATCGGGTCGAGAAACACTTTTGAATACCGACGGCGATTACAGTGTAAGAAATTTCACAGTGTTATTCGAGAAGTTTATAATGGCCATAAGTGATCGTAACCATGGAAACCAAATAAACAGTTTTGTAATGATGCAAGGTTTAAATGTTATACATTCAGATGACTCTTATATGATGAGTACTATAAGAAGATGGCCTCTCATAAAGAAATGGCCTAACTGTACGATATTGTATCGTTGTAACAGATGACGTCTATAGAAAAAGAGAATACGAATAGAAACTAATGAGATTTGGCGAGTAAAGTAAAACAGAAGTGAAAAGTCATCAGAGCTTCTTTGAAGCAGAGTACTTTTAAAAATAGTCGACCGTTCTACGAGTGGTCGTACTAATACTTTGAGAAGTCTTGTCTTGCGGGAAAATGTACAATGGGGTGGAATAAAAAGGCCGGAAATTGACGGGCCTTTGAGAATGAAAATAAAAGCATTTTTCAGAAGACATCGTGCGGAGAATCCAATGTAAGAAGACACGTGGGTTAATTGTAGCTACTTAAAATCCATTCACGTCTCAATCTTATTAACCCTTACATAAGAGTTGCGAACACAGCTTGAGCAAGTTATGAAAAGAACATGTTCATGATGTTCTTACAATATATTTTTTCTTCTTCGCCATATTCAAACGTTCTCAAAAGAGGATAAAAACACTAATTCGCTCGGTTCTAACTAAACCCATCAAAACTGCCTACACAGATTATCATGATGGCATTCAAATCTGGAGCGTTAACGACATTTAAAACCCAGTAAAGCGATAATAATGCATAGCGATCGATTTAAATATAATTTAATGACGGATTACTTAGTATCCTTGTTATACAAAACAATTGATCTGATAATGCAAAAAGATTTGAGCATTGATCAACAATGCTCGCAACAAATTGTCAATGGATCAAATGGACGCCAACTGCATCCATCGTTTTTAAACAATCAAACGAGGGAATACGTGACACGCTTAAATATCCTAACCTCGATATAAATCCTCGCTGGCGAGTATTTCGTTGAGAGTCTGATTCGCGTTTTCAAAGTTTGTAGCAACCTGTAGCATTCGCACATGCTCGAACCTCGGAGATACACAAAGCAGTATCCTAACCTGCGACGCGCAAGTTCACACTCACATTTTTCAGGGCTTCTTGATCTCGGTCACTTGATCTTGTTAATTCTTCTGAAGAAATCCCTTTACTAAGCGTCCGCTTAAGATTTGCAGAATCCCACAGGCATCCCCTCCTGCCTAAGCATCATCTTGATCCGTCCACTACGTTCAAACGTTGGCGAACAGACACTCGCGGACACGATTACTCCCGGTTGGAGAAGACGCAAATTTGTCAGGTAAATAAAAGTAAAAGTGACAATCAAACACTCGCGCATATAAATATCCTGTTTGGAAAGAAACACGATTGTTCACCCGGAACTTGCTTTAAGGAATGTCACGAAATTAACGACACACATCACTCCCCAATCTCTGACCTACTCGCTGCACCGAAGCGAGTGAACTGACCACAGAATTTGGTCACACAAGCAACTTCAGCCAGCTGACGTTTCGACACTGTTTCTAAAGAGACGCTTGCACCGCCATCTGCCGGTTAAGAATTTATTCACATACATGGATTCGTGTATTTTCAGTGGCTTAGTTTCCACCGTGCAGAGTTTAAACAGAGTTAACCAATCACGTATAGGGGTTGAATGGAATTGATCAATAGGGCTGCTTGACTCTGTTTTAACTCTGCACAGTGGAAACTAAGCTAGTATAGATACTGTCCATTTACCTAAATGCAAAGAAGATGTGCTTGAGGATTGGTTCATGCCGTTGTAGCCAACCAGTGAAAGGCCTCGATTTCCGTTAGAGCAGAATGTTGACTATGAACGGATCTTAAGGTTCAAATGGAAGAATTAAGCTTGATTCTTATTTAACTATGGAAAAGAAACGAATCGCAAGTGCGGAATACTCTTGTATCATCTATAGAAAACGTATAATTGGTGAACGAAGATTGGGTCGAGTAAATGACCATTCTTTGGGAATCAGCCTTGTGTTTGGGTGTAAGAATGAAGGTGGGGATTGGAATTGACGTAGCATCAGAGGAGGCAAGCAAGTAGGCTTGTATTTGAGAAAGGAAATAGGCAGGAAGACAGGCGAACAAGTAAGCAAGGAAACAATCAGTCAGGCATTCACAGAGTCAGACACGAAGTGAGATCAACCACGATATAGTCAGACCAGTCGGTCAAGTAATTCCGATCAGGCTTTAATATCGTAGCTTATCCTCTTTCGCGTTCCGGCATAATAGGTCTGCGAGTTCGCATCCGTGCGGTCAACTTCCACTCTCCTAGTTGAATTAATCAACCCAGTGAGTTCACGTTTTAACGACCAGATAATCGAGAGTGCTTAACAGTTAGCGACCTAAATATCAGGATGGATGAGGAATACGACGCAGTGGTCCTTGGTACTGGGCTCAAGGAATGCATCCTCTCGGGGATGTTATCGGTCAGCGGGAAAAAAGTACTCCACGTAGACCGCAACAAGTACTACGGTGGTGAATCCGCATCCATCACGCCACTCGAGGATCTCTTCAGGTATGATTATCGTTATAATTATCATCGTCATTATGATAGTCATTGTAGTTCATTATAGACAATATCCTACCCTCGTGAAGAGGAGCTCACTTTTTTTTCTCTTTATTTATTGCTCTAGTGCTCTTACTTTCTTTCTTGGTATGTCGGGATATCTCTCTTACTCTTACTGTAACTAGATTTGTCCTTCTCTTTTTTCTCCCTCCCTCCCTTTCTCTCTCTTCTCCGTGTCCTCTCGTCCCTCTATAATTCTACGTGGAACTCTAGGAATATTGATTTTTGCGAAACCACTTTCGACGAACATATTTTCGCCGTGTACTCTATGCTCCGTTCACGTTGAACAAGAATCAACAATGATCGGCCAGGCCGGCACAGACGTTTTTTGGTCACGTAGAAGATTTCGTTCACGGTTGATGGAATCTGATGGTTTTGTTCATAAAAGAATCCTTAGGATGCAGGAGCGGACACTCAGGGTAACGAGCAGGAGGCTCGAATTCTGTTGAAGTAATTTTATTTTATAAAATGATATAGATATGGATTTTCACAATTTTCTTACTTCATTATACGGAATGGCGTTTTTCGTTTATGTGTCAGGTTTAATATTTTATATCGAAGTAAAATATCTATAACGTTTCCAGATAGACGGAATTATTTATCTAAGAAAATAGTGATGAAGATTATCGATTAAAGTTCCATCATTTATCAGTGCAATAACAACTTGCTATATTACGGAATGTTTATCTTTAAAATCATTCTTTTTTGGTAATTAATAAATATGTATTTTGAAACAGATAACGAATTCTTTTAAATGTCAATTCGAATCTTTTGTTTTCGTAAATAAACGTTGGAATTAAGCTCACTTTGTTGGAAAGTAAAAGATAAAATACATTTTATGAATTATTTAATCATAACAACTGCTTAACCACTCGTTTTGTTTTTATGAACTGACATGTTTGTCAAATATATATCATAATTGCCCAAGCATTAATATAATTGCTTTGTTCCTGCAGAAAGACGTTGAAAATATTCATAATCAGAACAAACTATCTGCCAACATCCCGTTTCTGTATTATTTCAACAAAGTATTAAATAATGCTCTTTTTATTGCATTAAAAAAATGCAGCACACAAAGTCTATATTTTGACTATTTCTTAGTTATGTCACATATCCAAAGAACATCAAACATTTCTGTACTGTTAGACTCAAGCGTAATTTATTAATCAGTCCTTTATAATATATATTTGACGTGGCTTCAGGCGAATATCAAATTATACCTTCCTGTAACTCTGCTCTGGAACGTTACCGATACTTTTACTCAGGAACTTTGAAAAATCTAGTGTTGCTATGCGGAAGACGATATTTCCTGCCTCTTACCATCATTTACGGCCCTGCTGAAGAATTTCCGACACGCTGGAGTCGTTGCGAAATTAATCGGTGGGGATCAAGAGCGCACGTCCGATCATTTGTTCACTGTTTCAACTTAGCATTTAGTAGATGCAAATAAAACGCTCACTAAATTGTCAAATGGACGTATAATCTGTGATAGTTAACATACATTCATCGATCGCTCTCATTCTTTTTTATTTTGAAAATAAGTGTTTTGAATATAGTATAAGCGCTGAAAATGATAGTACGTAAAATTGTTGAATTTTTAATGTCTTTCTTAATCTTGAAATGCCGGTGGTTTTTCTTTCAAATTCTAGGCCACGCTGTTCCCCTTCCGTTTTTTATCGCTCTGATTTCAGTTGCTTTGAACGATGGTTGGCCATGACTTTATAACGTGTCAGTATTCGTTTACAGTACCGTTACAGTAGCCTTCTACGTTCGCATCTTTTAGTAATCACCCTGTTCAAAATAAGGCTGTACTTATTGTTTGCACATTTTATGACTAATTTAGTTTTAAAAGGTAACTGTGATTATATACATTGCAAAGCCAATATGGGAATGAAATTGTCCCTATTCTTGTTTAGCAGTAGAATGTAAAGCTAATTATTTAATTTTATTACAATTTTTTACTTATAGAGATTTGTGTATGGGAATCTTTGATGAGATTTCTTATTTTTATAAAGTTTTATCTTTATTTGTGTAGTAAATTCAAGGCTCCTCCTCCTGATGAGAACTATGGTCGTGGACGTGACTGGAATGTTGACTTAATTCCCAAGTTCCTGATGGCCAATGGTTTGCTGGTCAAACTTCTTATTCACACTGGTGTCACTAGATACTTGGAGTTCAAGTCTGTGGAAGGTTCTTACGTGTACAAGTCTGGCAAGATCTCCAAAGTGCCGATTGACCAGCATGAAGCACTGTCTAGTGATTTGATGGGTCTCTTTGAAAAGAGACGTTTCCGCAATTTTCTTGTCTGGGTGCAAAATATGCAAGAGGATGACCCTAAGACATGGGATGGCTTTGATCCGTACAATAATAACATGAGTGCTCTGTACAACAAGTTCAGCCTTGATAAGAATACTCAGGATTTTACTGGCCATGCTCTTGCCTTGTACAGGTTAGAAACATACGAATAATATACTCAATGTGATCCCTTACATGTACTTACTCTCCTAATTGATCTTCTTAGAGATGATGAGTATATTGGTCAGAGCGCCATCAATACTATTCGTAGAATTAAACTGTACAGTGACAGTTTAGCACGCTATGGAAAATCACCATACCTCTATCCCATGTACGGCCTTGGAGAACTTCCTCAGGGCTTTGCTAGGCTTAGTGCTATTTACGGTGGCACGTATATGCTAGACAAGCGCATCGACGAGATAGTCATGAAAGATGGCAAGGTAAAAATCATTAAACCAGTATCTATCTCAACGGTGGCACCACTGCTAGAATCTAATTGAAACTTAACCTCTATTTTATGAAAGGTGGTCGGTGTTCGTTCTGGAGAAGAAGTAGCCGCATGCAAGCAAGTTTTTTGCGACCCCACCTATGTTCCTGATAAAGTCAAGAAAGTGGGACAAGTCATAAGGTGCATCTGTCTCTTGGACCATCCGATACCAGGAACAGGAGATGCTCTCTCTACGCAAATCATCATTCCACAGAAGCAGGTAAGAGCTAACAAATGATTTTTACTTTAAACACTTAACGTGTCAAGCTTGATTTTTCATTCAACCAACAATCGCACCCTGTGAGCATCCGTGATTCTTTCAATTCAAGGTAAATCGTAATTCCGACATCTACGTCTCCCTGGTGTCGCACACGCACCAGGTAGCTGCAAAGGGTTGGTTCATCGCCATGGTTTCTACCACCGTAGAGACAGGCAACCCGGAGACAGAAATTAAACCGGGTCTTGATCTACTAGGCCCTATTAGACAAAAATTTGTTTCCGTATCCGATTACTTGGAACCTACGGATGATGGACTTAACAGTCAAGTCTTCATCTCAACGAGTTACGACGCGACGACGCACTTCGAGACGACTTGTCTCGACGTCCTTGATATCTTCAAACGCGCGACTGGGGAGGAATTCGATTTCAAGAAGGTTAAGCATGAATTAGGCGACGAAGATCAGTAACCCTAATTAGTCAGATAATTGAGCGACCTTCCCCACTTGGACGCAGGGTCTGAGTGGAACCTGATCTAAAAGAATTCACGCATCACGTACTACTAAGTAAGCAATGTTATTCATACTCTTGTCAACTATCGGGTATACTGTCCTGGCATATCTCCTCATTGGAGGAACCAGCCATAAAGAAAGGAAGGAAGGGTATACTGTCACAGGAATGTACGTATCCTAAGGGAAAAGTGCAAAAAAAAAGATTCTGGTTACGAGAAAAAGAAGAATATTACCGGGCGTCTGTAATTAAATTAACGAATGGACATTAGAGGTAAAACAAAATAAACAAAAGGTATGAAGGATGGAAGTTAAATATGATAAAGAAAAGAAACTACAAAAGTTAACCATATGAGGTATCCTTGATGATTTTTTACAAAGAAAAAGAAATGAACAATTACTCTAGAGCCTAACGGCCGTATATACTTTGGAAATTATCGTTCACCATTCCTAAAATTCCTTTTGTTCACGTACAATAAATTTAATTGCAATTCTAATAATATTCTTGATTAAGAAAAGAACAAAAGTATTCCTAAACAAAGAGAATGAACGTGCTTGTGTCAATATTCATGGTTGCGCCAATTTCTTTGGCGATTACCTATATAGCATGTACTTTTTTTCTGTACAAGAAGTGTATCATATTTTAAATACCTGAAAACATATTATACAGTCTAAAGATGAAAACGAAATATCATAATAGAAACGAACGAGAACTATTTAAAGACTTGATGCTATATCATGTTGCTGACTGGTGAAAAATAAAAGTCATCGCTTTATCAACACTCACAGTGTTGAGCACTTCTTACGCGCATAATACGAATGGGATGCCTCTGATTAGAGATAGGGAATGTTATTATAATATCTATCATGTTGTGTAAAATCTAAAAGGATATATCATACCGAAAATGCAAAATGAAAGTGCATGGGCTACGTGTATAACATTATCGGATATAAATAATACGAAGATGGATGAACACTTTGAAGAATGTCAAACAAAAAATCACACACGCATTATAACGTTAGATTTCGTTCAATTACGGTAGGAACTTTTAAAATCAGGAGAATGGAATCCAAAAGAAAGAAGAAGAATTTAAATGGCATTTATCGAATGGTCGGGTAATGGAAGATTATATTTAAAAAAAATTAGAAGAATAAAAGCTGCATTGAGATTTTAGATTAGCTTGCGAACAGAAATATTACTTTGTTACCGTGAGTGTATCATAATATTATTAGTTATAAGCGAATAAACATTGGAAAGTATGACATCCAGTTCGGTCTGTCTTGCAATTGCGGAGCCAAATAATCTGTTCGACATGAAATGATCAGCAGACTTGAAGGAATGAAAAGGAATAGGAATAAGGTGCACAGTAGGAAAATTTTGTTTAAAGGCCTCTGTGTCTCATTGCTCGAAGACTACTCTCAACAACTATAAATTAGCACTGTAATAGGAACTCTTCATTCGGAATAAATGAATATTGTATTAAGGTGTATTATCTTGCTTGTTCTTTGCCATTGATAAATATTACCATTCGATCAGTCAGTCTTGCATCAGTAATAATCTAAAGTTAAGGACACTGCTTCTGCGTAACAATCATTTTTAGAATATACAAGTTATCATCGCGACAACCTACTGCAATGAAATTCTCGTGCATTACTGCTGATGAGAAACTTGCACCTTCCATATGAAAGTTTGTCAGGACTTTACCAGTTAAAGAATTAATAACTGATAGTGTACCATTCACTTCTACGATGATTATTAGTCCAGTTTCACAATGAGGTGTTGCCACTATTGGTTCCTTCATTTCTGCTATTAGATTTAATAGCGGATTTCTTGAATCCTTTAATTCTATGTTGTAGATAACTTTGTTTTTGCTGGCGAAGGTGATACTTTCAAAATTCTTTGACGGGTCTTTGTGTATGACAAGATCTGAGAAGATATTTCCTGTCACGCGAATGTTCCAGAGCTGCAGAAGATACAGGGGGTTTATAAGAATGCAGAGTCAGTAATGAAATGTAAAGTTATTAAACCTTTACCAAGTGACCATCCATATCGAATGAAAAGATTTCTCCAGCGACAGTTGAAAATATAATAGTCTCCTTTTCCGTGATAACTGGAGTTGTAAAAATAGGGTCTTGCATCTTGCGTAACCAATATTTTTTACCATTATCTTTGTAGACAGCTACGCAAGCTCCACTTTGTGTCCCAAAGAATACTAGGTTGTTATTTATAACAGGGCTTGAAGATATATTACCATGGCCAATATCAGTACACCATACTTGTGAACCGCACTTGAGAAAAAAATTAAATTTTTCAATTCTCATCATCAACAGGTACTGCTAAGTATTTACCTTTGTTCGTAGAGAATAAAGGTAATGATCGTAGGATCCTACATAAAGATATTCCTTATTTTCACATGTAATAGCTGTACCCTTTATTTCATTGGCAGTTTTGAATTGCCAGTAAATATTTCCTGTCTTCAGATTTAAGCAGTATAGGTAACCATTAGTACAGCCTGAAATTTTTTAAATTTTATTATACCCACAGTCTATTTTCAGTTTTATTTTGAGTACGTACCAATGACACCTTTAAAATTACCCAGAACTAGTACAGATGCAAGTAGCCGACCTGGCAGTCGAACTTCATAAGAAGCACAATCAGTAGAGTTCAATTCAGTAGTCAAAATTTTACCAGAATGAGAACTAACAGTGACAAATAATTGACCACTAAATAAAACAGGACAATAAATCATTATTTACAGCTTTCCCTATCATAATTTTTTAACTATCTTATAATATCAGGTTTATAATATAATTAATTTCGTTTCTCAATAGTATGTAATCTCACGCATATTGCTTTAATACTTTTAAATACATACCTTGCTGTTTGAAACATTGTTGGAGATGCATCAATGCATTTTTGTAAATTATATTTTTTCCACAATTCTATTCGAAAATCCAATTGTGCAACATTTCTCTCCTTTACTAAGACGTGTCCTGTAGTTTTTCCTTTGCTCTTTTGCCACTCGCAATTGGTATAATTTTCAAGAACAGCTCCATCATTAGTTAAAACGTGCGATTCAACATTTACGTGCGAATTCAGTTCTTGACTTATTTTATCTTCGTGTACATTACTTTCAGTAATTCTTATGTTTTTGGACTCTTCCATAATATATGTTAAACATGCTTCAAAGTTTTCATCTCTGAGTAGCATTCCAATCAATTTTGGATATTCACTTTTTAATGCTTCGCTCAAAGACATAGACATTTGAAGAGCAACTACAGAAGTTCCACCAAGCTGCAAAAAACCAGCTTCGATAGAAGAAATATAATGTGTCCAAATATTTTTGAACCTTTCTTTGATATTTGGTACAAGTGACATTGTCTGCTGTACATTGCATTTTTGCACGTTACTACATATTTTTAGTAATGCATGTGTACATAATTTTCCGTTGACAGTCAATTCGACGTCATCGATGAAATGGATTTTGTCTGGTATATAAAGATGGGATAATTTTTTCAGCTCATTTATAATCTCTTCTTTGTACCGTGATATTTTTTTAAATTCATTAGTCGAATTACACGTAACAATGCAAACGTATAACTTGTAATTCTCTTCGTCCCACAAAGGAATGCAGTTCTTAACGAAATTCAATTTTAAAATGGTGTTTCTTAATACGTCTGTATTCAATTTGTTGCCGAATCGTTTTATTTCGACGCCAACACGTCCTTCGTAAAAGGCATCACCATGCTCATCAATCTGCAATGAGGCGTATTTTTAATTATCAATTTTAGTATACGTTGTTAATGATAACATTTGACTCACTCTCACTAAATCGCCCGACTCGCGGAAAACAGGTCTTTCAAGATTACCAATCTTGTCATTGTTTACTTCACAAATTCTTGAATTACTTCCTGCAATTTTATTCATACATAAATCTATTTAACTCATTTAAAGTGCAAGGATTATTTGACATTACCAATCAATAGAACACCCTTTCCATGGTCATAAATACCATTATCTGTTTTAATTTTGAACATGGTATTTGATAAAGGTCTTCCAAGATATGAGGGATCCTGTTTTAGTTTACTTGGATTTCTTAGGTCAATTTCGTTAATGCTGGCCCAGCAGGATACTTCAGTTACGCCATATATGTTGAATATTCTTGTTTGATTAGCTGCATGTTTCATATCCTCAATTATAGATATCTTAGGAAATAACTCTCCACCGATTAACAGAATTCTCAAGTCACTTTTGTCACTGAGAATTGTTCTTTGCAAATGTTGGCTCGGCCACTTGTACAACAGAACAGACGGTGTACTTTGAAGCAATGTTATTCTATTTTCGTAAATCATTTTAAGAGTCCATTCAATATCATTTTTTAGCTCTTTTGTAACAGTTACAAGTGTACCACCACAGGAGAAACTTAAAAATATTTCAACAATGCTCGGATCAAATCTCAGACTAGTCAGCTGTATAATTTTATCACCTGTTGACAACTGGAAAAGTTTTTTTAAGTCTAAAATATTTGGCACTATACACGAATGAGTCACTTTCACTATTTTTGGTTCACCAGTAGATCCGGATGTAGTGATTACATATGCGTACTCATTTTCCACTTTATTTTCTTGTTCGATATAAGCATTCCACAGTTTGCAAAGCTTTATCGTTTGATTCTGTACTTTTATATGACGTACAACATTACTTTCAGAGATGTCATTTGATGAAAATATATATGTAATTCTTAACTTTGTATAGAGCTCACTATACGTTGCATCAAAAAGATTAATAAATCCAAGTCCACTTGTATTTATTCTGAAAGAATGTAAAAACTTTAAACCTAATTAGACAATGCTTTTTTAATATAATATCAAAGTTTACCCAAGCATCAATATGGGTACAATGTATTCAGATACATCAAAGTTAATGCCTATAAATCCTGATGCATCAAACTCTTTTAATACATTAGTTATATATATTACAGCATCTTTTAATACAGAATATTTAATTTGTTTCACTTCTGTTTCATTGCAATGATGCTCTATAGCAATATTATCCGGTGCAGTCCAATCACAGAGTGTATGTAAAAATGTGTCAGAATTATCACAGTCTGAACTAATATTAAACATTACTGTCTCAAGCAATCTGAAAAACATTTGAATTTAATGATATAGGACAAGATTGGAACTAAATCTTTGATAAATATGTTTTTAATATTCCAGGTCTTACCTTTTTGAATTAGCTTCAGACATTTTTATTAATTGAATAAAACGATGTAATACATTGTCATTCGTTGCTACGGTATAATTAAGCATAAAAACAACCTATATGCCGTAATTCTGAAACTGTTCTAGAGTGATAACATTTAGTAACAGTAGCAAAAAATAGGTTATGTTCGAACATACGTATATGAAGATTGCCTTTCAGTTGGTTTTACTGCTTGAGAAATACTAAATTATAGCAAATTAACTTTTGGCATTGTATTGTACATTTTTCAATTAATATTTATTTCCAATACACGTAATTCACAGCTGCAACCGATTTTACACAGAACACAAAAAGAATTTACTAAGATTAATTATTATTTAATATTTTCCTTAGGTCTTAGCTTACAATTTTATATCAAAGATATTACCATTACGTTCTAAGGACTACGTACAACCTAAAATTTTTAATAAGTTTATGCGAAAATAATTTTAAATCGAAAATGCAAATGCTTGCTGCATATCAAGAGCCTGCCTCTAAATCAATAAAGATTCTTCATATCATATTTGAGTAGAGTTCATAACTGTAGTCAGAACTACAGATGCATAGGATGCAAGCAATTGACCATGTTACACTTGCTGAATGCTTCAATGAAAAGTGAAAGATAGATTGAATCTGATTTATATAGAGGAAAAAAAACAATTCTTGCAGCGTACAGTAGTTTATTGGACAGGAACAGCTATTGATTATAGTTAATAGCTATTATTTGGGTCTCTTGATTAAAGAGTATAGCTTATCCGAAGGATATTTTAAATCTTTCATCAACCCAGGATATAACAGATATTTCCTTCAAGGGGCAAAATGGCATTTACTGTAGCCATAATAAACAGACAATGGTGGGAATATTAATGAGACTAGCTTGAAAGCAATGCATCTTAACAATGGGAGCATAAATGAATTTGCTGGGAATAACAGCTCAAATACATTGTATAATCAGAGAGGGTCAATCAGTAACACCTGCTACTAAACATTTTTGTTAGATTTCCTTTTAGATTTGAGACATTTCCATTTACGTCACTTCAATAAACAGAGGTGTGGGTCACAGAAAATCAAAATTTGTATGTGACAAATGAAAAGGTTTAGAATAAGAGATTTAAAAAAACAGCATATGGATCATGCTACTTCTCCTCGCACCATTCATTCTCCTTGCGCACCTGCTCTTCTTCTGAAGCTGTGAAGTCATTTTTTATGTTAAAAGTCTTGCGGATCTCTTCTGGCGTCTTGCCCTTTATCATGTTGGCTACAGTTTTACAGGTAACATCAAGGAGTCCTTTAATATCCAGGTAGTTTGCAGCAAGAATAAGTTCAAACAACGTTCCTTGATCAACCTAGAAAAAAATGGAGAACAATTTATATTTTTAAGAATAAATAAAAATCCTCCGATAATTTGATATCTTTGCATTAAAAAAAATTACCTTTAAAAAGTCTGCATCCCAAGAGCTGATGTCATCTGTACGTTTTTCTTTTGTCTCATCATCTTCCGATGGAGGAGGATCATCTTTATGATAGGTAGCCCATTGGATTACTTTACGGAGGATAGCTGAATTAACATTGGGTAGCGGTACCACTTCCTCTTCATCTTCATCCATACCAAGATCTTCAAGCATTGTTTTTATGGTGACAGAGCACTTCGCAATGTCAACATCAACTTCGAAGACCTCTCCATCAGAGCTCTGCAGTTTTATATTCGGCATCTGAAAATTCAAATAATAGTTTTACCAGTTGTCCTCTCTGTTTTAGGTAAAACTGCAGAATACGAGTGCTGCTTGAAGGACTAGGTGTAAAAAAAGTAAACAATTCACAGCTAACTTCAAAAAGAAGTCGTATTCTGTAGTTTAACCTTAAATATCTTGCTCAATGACAAGCACTATTACTCAAAGTATTTCTAAATGCTAATAGGTTTCATGTTGAATAAGTTCATATATACTCTTCCACCAAAATAGAAGGTAAGCTATAAATTTATATTATTTATAAATAACCTTAGGTTAGCTATAAATTTTAGAAACTTCAAGTGTTGCAGGTCACCTAAAACTACTAAACCCAGAAAAAAATACAAGTGCGATGTTATGACGGACCATTTTTCGAATTTTTTTTTCAAGCCAGTTCTGTCGATAAATCTACTAAATCATATCTCCACGTGAAATATCAATAGGACAACATCCAGCATATTGATGATCGCACAATACTTTATTAAATATGTATGTACTTTCCGAATGAAATACTCGACAAATTGTTCTCACGATGTACGAGAAAATATAAATGGACGTTATTCATATCACAAAGCTGACCACAGCACGTCCATTACGCGCAACTTCTTTGCAAAGGATATTCCAAATTAAATGGATATGTAGTTAAAGAAATTCAATGATATCATAAGTTGGCGGCCTTGTTAGATTATGAGAAATCGTAATAATTCACCTTTTCACGTTATCGCAGCTAATAGTCGAGAAAAACGAAATAATTTACAGAAACGTTATTCAGAGACGAAACACACACACGCCACTCTCCCACTTTTAGCGAGTGCTATCTCTATCTCGCTTCCACTTATCTCTTGTTTCTGTACACTTCGTTCTCTCACTCACTTTCGCCAATGAGTCATCCCTCTCTCTATCCTATTCTTCCTTATGGACAAATCATCAACTAGCAATGACGCTAGATTGCGCCACTTGTATGCAACGTTGCGCACGCGCAAATGAATACCTCTATACCATGTAGATTAAATTTTACAATAATTTGAATCTTTATTCCGCAATTGGCAGGTGTTTGAATACTTCGAAAATTCCTTTATGGCTAGAAATCGAATCGAATATTTATATACTATCCGCCATCGGAGTAACATATGTAGATTCTGCTTCCGAGTTTATAATCGGATAAATATTGATCTTAGCTGTACTAATCGAGCGATTGCTTTGAATTTTTAGAAACTCCATAAAACAACATGAAACTACATTTATTCGTCATTTATGATAATTATTCAAATATTATCTCCATTATTAGCACCGTGACTATGGATCAAGATAAATAATTATGCTCCACTCAGAATGAAATAATATATAACAAATTTGTATAACAGTCAAACCATTGACTGATTCGTGTAATGTAATTTCGAATATTGTTTTACGAACCTGTGGAATATTGAATTTCTAATAATGCTGTTAACCAACCTGTTAATAATTTAATATCAAAAAAAAAACTTCAGCGACAAAACACTAAACTTTATGGTCTGAAATTAATCTCCATTGCTAATTGCCTAAGTGTGTCGCATTATCATCTACAGCAAACTCGTAGATATCACACAGCAGTTTTTTATTCACTTTCATTGATTCATAGGTACGCAAGAGACATTTTAAATTAAATTTATAAACTCAGGGTAGTCCAATTATAAGAAAGTGTAACGTAAAGTCCAAGAAATTCAGCAGGAACCTTGCTGATTATGTTTGCTTTGGATCTAAACCTCAGACGGCCCTTGACTTGTATTTTCAACTGGTCAGCCGGAGTCTTGACCACCTAACCCCAAATAAAAATCTACAATAAGGTAAACGAAGCCTCTGTAATTTGTAACACAAAATAACTTGCGTATTTATCCCTATCTCACGGAACATTTTGCTTATTTCAGTCACGTACGCAATAGCAAAGAAAAAGAAGTTTATAACCGAATTAAATCACTAGCGATGTCGTCAAAGAGAATCACGTTATAAATCCCAGCCCGTGAGAGAATAAAGTCTGAAAAGTTTATCGCAATGCTTAAAAGTCCTTTATAAGAAATTGAGATTCACGTAACCTCGATGAAAACGATGATTCCAACCCATAAAATCCAGAGATCACGATCTAGTCTAAGACACTAGTATCAAAGTGAGAGAAATACGTAGAGTGCGGTACTAGCAAAGCTGTTAAGTGTAATAACGATAATTGTCCTATGGACGCTCGATAAAATTTAGTTTGTAAAAATTAACCTTACTGCTGCAAGAGGATATACCTACATATATATACACGGATATGTATACGAAATGACTAAAAGATGCATCTTCGTGGTTATACGAAGCTCGAGTTCACTTTATTTATGGCTTTCGCTTCTCCCGTAGCCTTTCACCGGGTGATCCACTCACCCTCCATCCTCCTGACGTCCTCGTCCTCGTCTTCGTCGTTATGCTTCAATGAAATGCAGTATCCTTTCATCTCTTTCGCTCTCTAGCCATTCGTTCCTTCGTCTTTCTCTTGGCGCCAGCAACCTACGCTCCCGCTTCGCGACTTTACGCCCTCACAGAGACTTGGCAGAAAATGGATCACGGAAAAACACAGGTTTGTAGTATGGTGAACTTTTACTAACTTTTCCTTCCTTACCTACAGAACCTTCGAAGCTTTGTACTTGAACGATTTGACGACGTCACGATTGTACGGTGCAATCGGAGATTGTTTTAATTTTATTCCTTTGTCCACTGCGGAATTAGATCCTTAGTGAAAGATACATGGAATTTCTATGCTTAATAATGAAGGTTAATTTGGAGCTATGAAAAATTGTGGATTTGTTTCGTACTTGTAAGTTATTTCTATTTCTAATCTTTTGCACAGTTGTATATCATGAAACGTTAAGTATTTGTAGCTAAAATCGGAGCCATTCTGTGCAAGCTGACAGATGTTGAGTTTACGTAAGTTGTTTAATTAATCTTAGGGGTAGCGAGTCGCAACAAGTGCTTAATTGACAAGGTATGGAAAACCCAAAGACCATTCTTCTTGATGCCAAAGGTTCGTTTCACCAAACGTTATGATTGGTTAGTATTACATAATTTCTATGTGAAGCTAAAAGCTACTGATTGCTTGCAGTATGTTTTCTTATCAAGGTGATATCAGATTATACGCACTGCGAATATATTGCGTACATGATCAATATAATACCTCGTTGTAATTATACTGTTTAATAGCAAGCCTAGCTTAAAGTAAATAGTAACATAGACGTTTGTTGAGTTGATTTCTGACAAAGCCTTGGAGAGTATATATATAGAGTGATTCAGATAAAAGGTATACCGCTTAGGGATTTGACAACTGTCATGATACCTTCTTAAATATTACAGGAAAATTTTACTTAATCTGTGCAATGGACGTTTGACACATGCTGTTCCAATGATGTCTATCAAGTTTGACAGATTCGTTTGAACTGAATGACCCTGTATATAGGCAACACTCGAAATAATGTATAAGCGTGTACACACAATGTATATTTGCCCAGTGTCAAGGAGTTCCATTTGTCATAGAAGAGTAATCGAACGGTTTCGATTAGGTAACCAAATTGAATTTCTCTGTAGAAATAATTTGGCTTGATGCAATTCCACATGATTTTACTTTGATCAATGTCATGCCGGATGATTGTGTAAGTGAAAAGCGACTTTGAAATTTGAAATTTGTAAACCATACATACGGTAAAATTGTTTTCATGATTTTTTAAAATTATTCAAACACTTTAGTAAACTTTTCAAGAAAATTTGATTCATCTTAAAATACGAGTCACTAATTTGTTTTATAAGTAACCAAATGCACTGTCAACTTCAAAATATAATTTTTTTTACACCGATTGCCATACTTTTTCATTTTAAATACTTCAAAATATACGTCGAACCTAATACCGACCTACTTCACTTCACAGATTTCAGTCCGGCCGATTGTACTCCTTAACTACATCCGGTCCCGTTCATCCACTCTGATCAAGGATTTCCCGTTTACGTTTTTCTCATCTCAATATCGTATCAAGTGAAATCAATTATCGATCCACATTTCTTCCTTCTCTGCAATCTATCAGCACATAAGAAAAGCACAGTGATGCGGGAAGTAATAAGAACAAGAGCAGTAATATCAAAGTTGTGAAAAAAGAAAAACGATCAGTGGTAGCACTGGTAGCACTGGTAGCACTGGTAGCACTGGTAGCACTGGTAGCAATGGTAGCACCGAAAGTATATTTTTTTAAAGAAGTCTAATGCGACCAGCACCCAATCGCTATTTTGGCTGCTACTGAATGTCTGAATATAAAAGGATAAACTGATGGGCATACAGGAGCGAAAGGCAGGGACGCCGTGCCAACCTAAGTTTGTTGACTTGAGCTAATGTGTCAACATGAATGTTGGAGGAGCAGGGGAGAGACAGGCTGCGGCAGAAAACTTGAATCTAGGGAGAACACGTTATGCCCTTGACTTAGGATGCTCTTTCATCGCGTCTCATGGTTTACGCGCAGCCCACGCAAAAAAAAAGAGAGAAAATAGACCTAAGATTTCTCAAATTCATAAATCCATAAAATTTGATGTGTGTACACTTTGCTTCTCTAAAAATTGTCAGTGATACATTGATTGATTCTTAGACGGAATCATCTAAAATAATAATCGGAATGGGATGAAAGATTATTTAAAAGCGTTATATGTATACTTTATTTTGATTCATTGACAGAATTGAGAATCTGAGTTTGCTCTTGTTGCTATTTTTACTTTCTATAATAAGTTTTGAAAGTATGTATATTTTTTGTATATATACTTGAGACAATTGCGAATCGATTTTACAACAATAAATGGGAAATTATGTGCTCCTTTAACAGGGCGCCACTCAGTCTGGGCTCCTTTCTTCCAGTGACGTTCTTCATCCACTTTCTCGATTAATTCTTCAATTAATTGTTACTCTCTATCTCTCTTTTTCTCTCTTATCTATGCGAGTAAAGTGCTTTTAGCGTTTTGAACAGTTATTTTATTATTATGCAGCTAACGAGTAATATACTATGGAGAATATCGATTTTTTTTAAGTTTACTGATATAAAATAAGTTATATCTATTCAAGAGCATTTCTGTCAGAAACACATTTAATATAGTCTTTGTTCAACTGTATTAATTCACCTTGCATCAAAGTCAGTATATCAGGTTATCTATAAAAATATATAGTTCATGAATTCATAGCAAGAGTCGTGAAAGCTTGAAACTCTATTTTCATGGAAAAATTTTCATACTTAATTTCTATAAGCAATCCCGAAAGTAACTTACTTGAAATAAACGCTAGTAAAGATGCGTCATAGATATAAAAAAACTGATCCGCATGCTTTTAATTGTCGAATGATAACTGATCGAGCCTGTTGAAAGAATTTTTATCATGAAATTTCCCCAGAAACCAAGCAAGGGTAGATCTATTAGATAAGAGCAAGGACCTTGACGAAGATTCGTAATGGTGTATTCAAATTGGCAGCTTGGCACTTTGTTTCGGTCCAATTTTTGAAAATCGTGCGAGATAGCGTAAGGATTACGTAAAGTTTCACCACGCTTTTCTTGTTTCGCGCAAAAATAGCTTAGCAATTGTATTCAGAGTCCCGACACTTATCACAGATCTAATCCTACTTTCCCTTTTTTTTTCTTTTCTTTATATTCTTCATACCCAAGACGTCTCCTTTTCAAATTTGCCAAGTCTTGCCTATACTTTTTAATGAGTATCCACAGTAATTTGCGTAGGCAGAGCACATTAATTACTTTTTCGTAGTTGTCCAACTCGGGATATACATGTTACACGAGCGTGTATCTTAAAATATTATTATAGTAAAGATAAATATAAATAATATTTCCTACCCAAATTGTTCCACCCGTTTGGACATTTGTTACTTTGAAATGAAGAAAAATAATTTTACTTCATTTGCCATTTCAAATTTTACCGTAACGGCAATCTTGCCTGGACAAAAAAAATCTTATGGGGACCAACCCATCCCTTAGGCGTAGGTGTATAAGGTACATAATTATTTTGTCACATTACTGAACATGCTAAAGAATCTTGTGCTATGTAAAACAATAGAATTTTTAATTACTCTCACATAAAACTATATGCTGTAACTTAATAGCTATCAGAAACCTATTCTTGTGCGTAGTATTATTCTGATTTGGAAATGGCATTGTTACTAACCAATAAAAGCTCTCATTACCCAATCTCTTTCCTAGGTTTACGATTGGCCATCTATCTGCTTTCGGATGATTATCTCGGCGCCACTACTTCCAGTCAGTCTAGCAGCTGCAACTGGACATTAATATCATATACAAATTTATTAAAAACTAAAATAAAAGTTCTTAGTCCGACGACCGATGTCAGTGGACGTGATTAATTTAAGCACTTAAAGAATTTAATTTATAAAAATTTTCAAATAATCCGAAAAACTGTCTAAATCAGTTTTTGTGGGCCCCTATAATGACGTCATCATTGCGGGGGCTGATGACGCAAGGAGAACGACGTATTGGTCAGGGGGGGTTCTCACAGGATCTTCGCAAGGGGTTGAGTGCGCGAAGGAAGAAGAAGAAGAAGACAGAAGAAGGGGAACCCCCCGGTTACTGTATAAATGCGAGCCGCGCAAGCTCCACCAATCACTTACCCTCTGACCTCCAAACTCAAAGCTCTGGTAGCAGTGGATACTGAATCCTCCCCCCCTGTCCCAATCCAGCTGTACCTCGTATCGCTGTGCTGTATTAAAATCAAAATCGCGCACATCCCAAACGCTACCACGAGCAAGAGTGCTGCATTCGCTTGTTCACCAGCGTAAGAGGAGGAGCTGGTGGGAGAAAAGAAAAAGAAAAGAAAAAGAAAAGAAAAATTAGAGTGAAGAGACTAAAACGCTAAAGAAAAGTCCAACGAAGAAGAGAGAAGTAGAAGAACGGAAGTGGAGCCGGAAGTTTACGTCCAAGAAAGAAAAAGAATCTAGCCGGTAAGCCAACCAGATCGTCTTAAAAAGATTATGAAAAACACATTGAATCTGTGTTGAATAACATATAAGAATTTTTCCAAAATTGAACATTATCTTAATACATAATTTCCATTGCTCTTTATCACTATGTAGTTTGAACTTTTATAAATATTCCACATCACTCGTATGGTTAATGTAATGTTGTTATCTGTTGCCAATTTTGTTTTCTAATTTTAAAAAGAAAATTGCGTAGACTGTAACTCGAGTATCGACTGCTTCTTAAATGACAGGTGCAAATGTATTCTGGCACAGTGGGATGCAAAGGCGTCTCATAAAATTCGCTAGGTCTGACATTCCTATGAAAGATAAGGATTGGGTGAACGTTGCCACTTATCCAGTAGAATACGCCACACTACAAATGTAATAACTATGTCACGGTATAGGGATGCGAGAAATATGTATCATTGGAATGCGAGTATATGAGATGATGGTACTGCAAGTGCAACTGCAACTGCAGTGACCTTCTTGTTAGTGGAGCTTCGAAATTGCCATAGGAGCTTCGATCTGGCGCCACAATATTATTTCATGGGAACAATTCCTCTTCCTCGTTGATTCAGCCAAATTACAAATGCTTGGATTTTCATGCACGCTGATTGTATTATAAAGTAGGAAAGTATTACTCTGGATTCCATACTGAAATCAAGATATCAAATCAGTAGTGGATGGAACAATCGATTGTAGGATTTTTTATTGAATTGAAATACGCAGTTTGATATCATGTGTGATGCTATTTGATTAAATAGTCACCGGAGCTGCTGCTGGACATATTTGGCAAAATTGTACATGCGTAGGATGTCTGATGTAGATTCAATGGGGTGTTTGATTAAAGTGAATCGGTTATATTGCGCTTTATTAAAATTAACAATAGTTGTTAATTACAAGTAATGTTTATATGTCAAAAATATGAAAGCCATTCGCTGTTGTGGTTTATGGTAAAGTTTTTGATTTTGTTTAAAATATGGAATTCTACAGGCTTTTTTTTAGAATAGGAATCAAGAGTCAGAGAAAATGTAAAGGTAGTTTCATTCTGTTTCTTTGAATGGGGCTTTTCAATTAGCCTTAAATTTTAGCTATAGAATTTTCAGTTTGGGTGGTGACAGTGAGGATGGACGTTGGGGTGGTACAGTATTTTCAGGAAATACTGTGAATTCGAGAATACGCTACTCTTTCGACGCAGACAGGGAGACGCCGCGACGTCCCACATCCCAGAAATCACATTGGCCCCTTTGACCTCTTGGCCCGATTGCAAACCCTTGCACTTGGCTCCACTCTCACTCACAATCAGCATCCCTCTTCTATATGTCTCTCAGAAAATCCCATGACTCTCATCCCTTATGGCTGTCCCTGCAATCTACTGGCAAGCTGTGTTGCACCGGATCTGTTGTATGCAAGCAATTTTCTCTTTAGGATGAATTGTACAAAGTTTTCTATTGATTAAGTAGAGTAGAAAAGGAAATAGAAGGTAAAAATGGATTTGAAGATTCAGATAACGTATAGAAATAAAAAAAAATATTATTTTAAAGCGTCCATATAAAATTTATAGACGTTTTCAGTTACTTTAAGTAAAACTGGAAATTTATGGATGACGTCGATAAGAGATAGCCTTTTGGGTTATAGCAAAATTTCATTTGTTTAGAAATAGAAAATTTCACGTAACTTATTTATTTTTCTAATTTATAAAGAAATTTCATTCTTTGAAGAAGCTATGGTAAATTATGGAATTTCGTTGAGGATTACATTACTTTATATACGTGCGTATATAGTATATTACAGATACATATATATACACTTCAATAGATACGGAAATTAATTTGACCGAATCGTTGTCATTCGAATGCGATAATTTTTATTTATCGGGTTAATTGGATGATTAGAAAATATTTGACAAATTGATTGGTTATTTTAATCGTGATTTACGTAATCTATGTAATTATATTAACGCCGTTAATAAATTGACACGTATTTGAGTTTAAATTAACCGCGCTATTTACTCCGACGACAGGTACGAATCTCATGCGAATTTGAAATCGACAGAATTCCGAAAGATTCGCCACGTGCTGCTGTTTGAAACTGTATATAAAATTCTTTAATCGGTCACTGTTTACCACTTTAATTCTCATACAATTTTCAGCAATACTCAAATCACTGAGCCCATTGTCCTGATCACAGTTGTTACAAAACTTTTAAATTAGATCTCCGATAAATATTCTTATAATTTGTTAAATACTTCTAATTGTCGATAACGATATTATAACTTGATAAAGTCTATAATTCAAAACGTAATTAAAGAACGATCAAGTAATTAGTGGGAGCTTTGTATAAAGTGTCAACGAACATTTCAAGGGTTCCTCAACTCACCAGAAAGAAGCCCTTTTCGTCTCACCATGTTTGCACAGCAGATGCTTCGAACTTACCAAATTGTTGGATACTTTTTTCTTATATCCTTCATTGTGTATTTTAATTTTTTTTCCCTCGCTGAAGAATCATCTTAAAGAAAAATTTTATTCAACGTTTCTCTGATTCCATTCACATACAAAAAGATTGCTATGTAATTTCTGCGTCATAAAAGTCAAATATAGTAATTCAATAAATTCCCTATATAAAATTAGTGATTTTTCTTTTTATCATTTATTTCAGCACGAGTATATTTTACTTTTTTCTATTATGTACGTTAAGCAGGTCAATGTATATATTATAGTTAATTTCTATACGCAAATATCTCGACAAGTTTTCTGGGACAAATCCGAACATAACCTGTTGTAAAACGATAAGAACTTCCCATGGCATTTCGCGCGTTGAATGCTCGAGTAAACTTTTTAGCACACACTGTAACTTCTACGAACACGTAAGTTACTGCAGACCAGATCTGCATTTCCCACAAACATTAATTGACGTCATAAGTTTTCATAACGTATTCACGTATATCGACGCGATGATCCGAGATGCATCCGATGATCGTCGGTGTATTAACCTACGGAGAAGCACACCGTGCATATAAAACAGATATGGTTAACCAACCAGCAATATGTCAGAGTACAAAATTTTAAGTGAAGTTTCAATCTTAAGGGGTCTGTCAGACCAAACTAGAAGCAAGAAATCTCAAAGGTTCAGGTGTGGCCAGATAAATGAGTGCCTAAAGAAATTACGACGTGGCGCTTAGAATGCAAATTTGAAATGTTGAAAAATTATTCAATAACCTCAATGTCCAGGTCTCAGGTCAGTTTCATCAACTTTCTTATTATCCCGAAGAAAAGTTTTAACTGCTCGATCCAGTAGACGAACTTGTGATTTATATTCCAAGATACAAATTTCTTGAGAAAATTATATGGTGTCTTAATACTTAAAAATTTCAGCACCCCGTATATCAAAGCACGTATTCACATTGCGTTTATAAAGCCGTTACGATTCTTGTCAACGGCGTAATTTATTCGATCGTTTTTTCACGATTGGTTATCGTAACAATTGTTAGCTAATAGCGACTACGCATATAAGGTATATGCAAATTACTGCATGCACTATATCGAATAATGTCTATTTAATATATATAATCAATCTTCCTTATGGAGAAGTATTGTTATACACGCGAAATCACTGTTGGAAACTACAAAAAAAAAAAACAATTTGAAAAGTAACAGCTTTTCGAACTTTTTAACGGGCTAGTAGTATCTATCCGTGAGTGATTTTTCAATCGAAACTCACAATTAGTCTAACCTAATCTAATCTGACTTACATCATTGTAGTTTCGTCGCAGCTGTGCAAACTGCAACTTACCACGCATAAAAGGATGATTAAATTTTACGAGGTGTGTCTTACGTGCTGCATGTCCAGAGTTACGTCAAAGTATTATAAATCTCGATAACTAACTACAAATATTAAGAGTACTGCTAAATAGTTAATAATTTGACGATATCAATATTATTACTAACTATTGATCGTTCCTCGTGGCTGAATAAATAACTGTATAATATATAATGAACGTAAAAATGAAAATAGGTTAAATATTTTTCGGCTCGTGTACTTTTTATTTGAAAGATACCCGCGCGCTTTCAAAGGCAGCTTGTCATTTTCCACGATGCTTTGTCGTGCACGGCCGTTGCGAAAAACTTATGCCTTTTCCTGCTTCATGTCTAAACAATATAACGGAACACTTGCTTAGAGCTCGTTTACTTCTTTTTGTAAAACTTTCATATTTATAGCGACCTTCCTTTAAACCATAAAGTACCGACAATATAGATAACCTATGAAATGAAAAGCTGGCTTACATTCCAGCTATTCTAGGATTTAGAAGTGTAAGGAAGATTGGAACTAAAGAAAATTCATGTAATGCGTAATTTATCCAAAAAACAAGCTTATATTACCAAGGAGCAGAATCAATTAAGTGGATGAATACGGTGAGAGAAAATAAATTGAATTCTGGAGTATGCACATCTGAGAATTTTAGATAATGTTGACTAAAATAGAAGTGTAAGGAAGATTGGAACTAAAGAAAATTCATGTAATGCGTAATTTATCCAAAAAACAAGCTTATATTACCAAGGAGCAGAATCAATTAAGTGGATGAATACGGTGAGAGAAAATAAATTGAATTCTGGAGTATGCACATCTGAGAATTTTAGATAATATATATATATATATATATATATATATATATATATATATTAGAGAAATATTATACAGAGAGAGGGAGAGAGAGGAGAGTAATCTGCCAAAGTCATTTCAATTTAGGCAAAAGATACTCGTTATTAAAGGTGCCCGGGCAAATTAATTTCGTAATTAGCCAATTCGAAGATGTCTTAATTGGTAGCTTAAGTGGTTAATGGAAAGAGATACGAGTTCTCATAGAGTATTTAAGATTTTCGTTGCGACCTTCTTGAAATCTTCTTTGAAGGTTGTCGATTATAAAGTCGGATAATCAGCTTGATTCACTTCCGTAAGACGCCGCGCATCCAATCCTGGAGATATTTCGTAACGTGTAACGCGACACGATACGGTTTAATTTTATTTCTTAATCTTACTCCTCTGCTCATATTTTATCTTCCTCAAAGATTTTCTGTCATTTATAACTTTGACTGAAGCAATTCAAACCATGCAAAATATTCGACTCTAAATGCACGATGACGTAACGATGAGATATTATATCTATTGTAAGTACCAACCTCATTCTCCATTGTTAACATAACACTTTTGTCAATTATAAATGAATATTGGACAGTCAATGATGAATGGAGAGTTATTTTTTTTATGCTTTGTATAAAACATAATTTGTTATACATATACAATAAACTGTTCTTCAATTATTTGAGATGTCTTCAAGATGCCTGCCTTAAAACATGGCCAACAATGATAATTTATAATAATTTTTATTGGAATTAATTTTTATTTAATTTTATATTACCTGATGGCTACGTTTAATGAATAAGTAACGTCATCTTTGTCTGCTTCCTTTTTCACTTATCGCTTTATTCCTCATAGAGCCGTGTGACACTTCCACTCTGTAGGATGAGATCTTCTAAGATAATCCGAGCTCGAAGATGGATTTAAATTTACTCGTGTGTGAAGAAGGTGCATTGCACTAAAGTTTCCTGGCTTATCGTTTATAATATTGACAAGCATTCATTAACGTGATGAAATTGAAACAGCTGCCAAATGGTAATGAAGTTATTATTAAACATATTAAAAGATATTTTATCTACTTGACTTATTTTTATTAGTTCTCTTCGGCTTTTTTTTCACGTTTTTTTTCCTGCAATATTTTCTTCAATGGGCTTTTCACTCCAGCCATTTTGTTATACAGCTTTTGTTTTGCACAGCATTTTTTGTACACCCAAGATTAGGATTACATGTGTTGAGAAAAAATTTTACAAGCACAGAAATCCAATCCGAGCTAAGAATGATATACAGAAGACGCCACGAGGTCTCAGACTATCAATAAAAGAAGCTGAGTAAATATCTGTGTTACGTAACGAGCCTTTCCATTCAATTACGTTTTTTTTTCCACTTGCAAGGGTGCGAAACTGCCTGTATAGAAAATTATAGTAATTCGAAGTTTCATTCACCGTAGATTCTTTTCACTTACATTTTTATTCATTGTATTTTTATTTTTTATTTTCATAGAAACAGTCGAACCTCGTGCTCTAGAAGTAGATGAAGCCGACGGAAGGAAGGGATGTGAATTGGTCTTAGCTGTCTTTTGTACAAGGCGTGTTTTCATTTGACTATCATGTGGAATTTGCGACAGCGTTTAATTTCTTCGTTTCACTGGAAAACGGTGAAGAATATGATTTCTCACATAATAGAGGAGTCACTTGACTCGTCGTTATGTCGTCGAGAATAGAAGTTGTCCTTTACGAATTAATGGTGGGTTTCAGTTTATTTTGTTATTTTTGTAAAAGAGTCACGTTCATCGGGAGCAGCCAATCAATGTCCTGTAAATTAAAGGCAAACTCGATCGCCCGTGAAAAAGGTTGCGAGAGGTAAACCGACAAAACTACCAAGACTTGAAATCAATTGAATAACATGAGTTGTGTAATTAAAATAAAATTCCAACCGATAAAATGTCTTACTGAATAACTAAGACTTATATTGGACTTTTTTTTTATTCTATCAGATAACATGCTTCTTCAACGGTGCATCATCATTCTCAGTATCTTCGCCTGTTACACTTATGCTCGTGGAAAGGTGATCGACTGCGAGTAAGTTTTATAATTAAATAAATGTTATTAATATAAAACTATTTATTTTTAGTGATATGTGTTTTCTTTTCTGATACATATTTTTTTTTCAGAAAATATCCTTACCATAGTCAGTGCAGAGGTTCCCAAACGAGGAAACGTTATATGAGCATGGGTGAGGATGTCGTTGGAGAGCCTGGCTGCTCGTCGAAATTGAAGTTTTTGAATAAGGAACAAGGATCAGTTCCTGAACACGTTGACTTCAATGGAATTTCAAAATCAAAATTATGGGCCGCCCTTCTTGATAGTGTAAGTATCAAATTTTAGAAATAACAAAATATGATATTAGTTAATAACAATGTAATCCAATAGACGTTAATATAATTTATTTTTAAAAATTTTTTCTAGGGATTAAATGCTGATGCTCTCTACGAAGCGTACGTTTCTTCTTCTGAAAAGCACAAGAAAAGGAACAAGAACAATGGACTTAACGAACGAAGAATACCCTTACAAGAATTCTCATCTGAACTGGACATTCTCGATGGCGATTATTAATTCGACAACTGAATTTTCACCAGCGGCTCGACAAACGAATTCTCCTGGATAAACAAATCTTTGCGGAGTTCAATCAGAAACAAGTTTTTCCGTTATGGCAACGCGTTTTAAGCTTTAGTGTATTTTCATATATATTCCTGTAAAATTTAATTTATCTTTTAAAGTATTACGTACATTCATCTTAATACCTGGTCCAGGTTACCAATGCGTATATCAAATCTATCTTCTACACCGATCCGGTGACATGGTTTTTAAGATATTTTTTATTCTTTACCAAGAAAAGTAAAAAAATACATAAAAAAATTACGGAGGAATTGCTTTGCGAGCCGCATCACATATTGACGTGTGTAAGTCGGCCAGGTGGGCATTTAATTCTTAAAAGTATCTCGATCTTCTTAATTCTTGTATATATGTACAACTTGTTCAAAATTCTCTGCATATTATATTAAAATATATATAGTTGGTAATTTGCTCAAGAAAAGAGCTTTTATAACATTTTGTTTTTAATCTTTCGTATCGCACAAAACGCAGTAACATCTCTACGTTAGTTTATCAGTTTCTAGTTATATTGTTCAATTTAAGTTGACTTGCTTTATATTTTCTTTTTCTTTCTCTCCTATTGAAACTCTTCAGTGAGTTATCAACAAGTTGTGGAATGTTTACTCTCATTCTGGAATGTCCGTGGCTGGAAAATCTATCGATTCCGTGTTGAGAAGGACATGAACAATATAAAATATGGATTAATGATAAATAAGATGCAAGAAGAAAGGGAAAATATAGAAAACACGGAAACCGATTGATATTGTCTTCCTCTTGAGAATCTTTGCACAACGTAATTAATTGCCCAAAAATAAATAATTGCGTGCCGATTACGCTTTGTCTATCGTGAATTGTCTCTGTATAATTTGTATATGTGCTCATTCCTAAACATTAAACATGTGAAACGTATTTTGTTCCATTTGATCATGTAGTAAATTTCATTCCTCGTTTTAGCCTAGATGAATATTAATCCAAAATATTATATACTGTATACTGCGAGAAATATTGATAAATGTGATAAAGAGAATTTAGTTCTCAATATTTAAAGTTCCTATCCATTCTTCTAATTTTTTTGAATTTGTATTTAATTGGCTTATTTTATCACTACCTTGTCGGTATTGGGTAATGGATTAAAATATCAAGGTTGTTTCGTGATCCGGAAATTCTCTTCTTCTGAAGAACGGATCCATTTAACACGTGATTCCGGTCTATGTCGAAGAGACCTAAAGATGTCGTTGGTATAGCTGCACCTAGAAACACGTGGAGGTTATGGTAGTACACTGTAACCTATACAAATTACTTTTATAGTGCGGTGTAGTGAACTAGTTGCTGAGGAACGTATTTAATAAACTGTGAATATTGAATAATGTATTGTTAAATACGATTGAACAGACAAAGAAATGGGTGTATTTACCAAGAGACTTTATAAATTACTTAGAACGACAAAATTGTACAATGTTCGTGGTGTTGCTACTACTAAAATTTCGTTGCCGGTTCGTGTACTATATAAAAATACGAATGTTGAACCTTTATTCCATCAGAAATGTATAACAAGTTCTTGGCAAATAAGAACGATCATTGAACAAGCTCAGGTTGCTGAAGATAAAGAGGAAAATTCATTCTTTACTGAGAACAGTTTTGCGCATAGAGTTTTGAAGAGTACTCATAAATATAATATTGCAAAATCACCAAAGCTTTTGCCAATTATTTCTGAAGATGAGGCTGCTAAGTTAATTCAAGAAAACTGGAATTTTATGTCATCTGAAAAGTTGGTGAATAATTTTAAAAATCTTGTATGTTATATTCATAATTATTCTGAAAATATATTTGACCCTAAGTATGACAATGTTGTCAATGGATTGTCCAAGAATATTCACCGAATTACTGATACTGAACTACAAGAAGTCTTGCGGTATTTGCAATTGGTACAAAATTTAAAAAAAAGACATGAAGGGACATACAAAAATTTGTTCAAAACTTTGGATAAGGAATGTATACAACGATATATGCATTGGACTCCTGATGATCTTCTATTGATGGCTGATCTCTGGTGTCAATTGGGCCAGTCAAGGAATACGCACTTCTTATCACTTGCCCTAAGACGACTAGGGAATAAACCAAATAGATTGTCTTCAATTCATTTGGTTCACTTTCTGTTTTTCTTAAATATTGTTCGAAAACCTCCTATTAATATGTATGAAATTGAGTACCGTTTGGAGTCCTGCATAAATATTTTAAGCCTAGATGAACTCGGTGTTGCAGCAATGGGCTTTTTTAAAACCCAAACGCCAATCAGAAATTCAAGCATAATAAAAATCTATTTAGAAAAAGTAATTGGTAACGTTAAAGATATTCACGAAATAACTTTAGCATCAATAATGAAATTTTTACGGTAAGTTCAAAAGTTAATTTTAATTGTTTTCCTTTAACAAAGCATTGAATCTTAAGATCTCTCTGAATATAATTTCTGTAAAAATTTAAGACTGCCCTACACTGTTACAGATATAACATGGAGTATAACCACATATCATTGTTTCGAATTTGTTTGGAAAAGTTGATACCTGAAGTACAACGTCTCTCTTTATTAAGTTTATTACATGTTTCACATGCCTCAGCAAGTCTACAAGTATATGTAGCAGAATTAATGGATATAATTATAGCAAGGTATTATACTATTTAATAAAGTGCATCCCCATACGGTACCTAATTTTTCAATTTTTTTTTTATACAGATTTGAACAAAATATAGATGTTATCCGGATGAAAGATATCGAACGAATACTGTATGTTATGACTATCTTCAATTATGACATCTCACATCCTTTTTATAAAAAATGTATCAAAGAACTGAATCGTCCTGAACGAGAAGAAGAAATCAACAAGTACGTACGTCCCTTGTTACTTCTATATCTATAATAGCAATTATCAATAAGTTCATTTATAATTTGACTTTTATAGCTTCGGAAAAGCATTTATATGTGCTCTACATTATATGAGCATGGCAAACCTCTACCCAAAGAATTTGATTGAGAAAGCCTTAGCGAAAGATTTCATTTTGCAAGCATATGGTAAAGATGTTCATAAAATAAATAGAGAAGCTTTATTCTTGGACCGTAGTGTCGAAGTAGAGCTTCCAGATTACACAGGACCAAGACTCGAAGCAGGAACGTGGAAGTCAGTAGCACAGGTAAACAGTACATAATTATTAATTTACAATAAGACTAGCTAATTACTTTATTTGTCACGATAGAAAAATCGCTGGACTTTAAAAATGAAGCAAAACCAAATGACTAATAATGCGGACACCTTATTGCTCGACGTATTGAAGACGTGCAAAGTATAATTCTGTTTCTTTCAATATCACAGACATATCAAATTAATTAGTCTTGAATAATACGATCATTTATGTAACAGGAAATTTTTGGTTTTGACTCAGCGGTTGTTGTAGATCAGACATTACCGCATTATACAAAACCTGATATTTATATTTGCCTGGATGGAAACAAAAAACCTATTCCAGTAGAACCGTTGTTAACCGAATTACCATTTGGTAGCATTAAAAGGGCGCCAGAAATCAATTTGAGTAATTCTCAATGGATAGCCATTATAGTGGGTGGTCCTAATTGTTACATTAGGAATACCACGCAATACTGTGGACTAATAGCTAGCAAGTTACGGCAGTTACGGCAAATTGGTTATACACCCATTATGGTATGTTGAACGATATCAGAAAATTAATTATACATTTCATCTATTCGCACTGGTATTGGCTGTAATCCCTGTATATTTTACAGATTCCATATTTCCGATGGTTTGACTTGCCCAATGAGGAAGCGAAGAAAGATTTCATTCAAAATTTCGTTCTTACATGATGAATTTTCACCTTATTTTTTTATTTTAGCCTGCGCAAATAGTATGAATTTCACTACTATATGTAAACTGATATCCACATAAATCCATTAGTTTAAATTACGTTGAAAGTTTCTTTAATGTACTGCATAGATTTCCATTACTACACTATATTGAATGGTATTGTTCTAGAAACAATAAAAGTTTGTTTTTTCATTATATTTCTGGAAATACAAACATTGTGTAAAAAAATACCTTTAAAGTTTCAATTATTGTCTTACTTGTCCTACCTCTTGTTTTTTCAACAGTGAAATGAAACTTTAAATATATCATATGATGCTGAAAGAACTGAATAAAGATAAATTACATCAATTGTTAAATAAATCGTTCATAACTTTTTTTGTGTATTCGTATGTTACGAATAATGTGGCAGTAGCGGGTATTGTCCGTATTAGGGTTGGTTTTAATCCATTGTAAAGTGCTCCAACACCTTCAGTCCTAATTATGTCTTTCATTATAACAAGAGCAGGTGCTCTTAAATTTTGCACCTAAGAAAATAGAGTTACATCATTAAATTGTCTAACGTTTGGTTGTGTTTTAATATCTGTTATAAGATGGTGAATAGAATTTACCTGAATTCTACTTTTAACCACATCAGCTGGGAATATCACCAGCCATAACACTGTACCACCTACAGCTCCAGCTACCATTGTTTTTTGCCAACCAATGTCCTCTTTACTCTGACCTGGCTTTGTGAGCAACTGCCTTGTACCTTCATAGCCACCAAAAAAGAAAAAATACCCAGGCATTTCTCTGGCAATTGTTGATGTCAGACCTCTAAATAAACCAGTGAATCCATCTCTACGCATGATCTGCCGTGTCAGTTCCCATGGACCAATAAAATTCTAAAATTTTTTACTTGTGTATTAAAGAATGCTTGATTCTAATTTGTTTTTGTTTTGTGAAAAGATTAAATAATATTTGACACCTACTATAGATCCACCAGATATTGTCCTTTGAACTTGAACTTCTCTCATTGCCTGTAACTGACACTTTATCAATTCAGTTGGACATAATGTTAGAGATGAGAAAAAAGCAGCGAAGAAACCAGCTGTAGCATTCCCCAGTGAGCTCAAGTCCTCCACACTTCTTACTCCTAACAACAAAAGAAATTATTTACTTGGACTTGTGCTCAAATAATGTTCTGAAAAAAATTGTTGATACCTGTTAAGTGAGCAACAGCCTTTTGGCATCCGCCATAAGCAGCAAAAAGAACCGAATTCTCAGCAACATTAGCTACAAGTGCAGGAACAGTTCCTGCGTATAATCCTTTAGCTATACCATCAGACTTTAATGTTGTTGTGAAACAATTTACCATTCCCTTGTACATAGAAGGGAAGGTTTGCATTTTCACCTTAACAGTATCTAATGGTTGTCCCACATATACTAATGCTGTCCCACCTATAAATAAAAATAATTTCTTCAGATTAATTACTTATCAAACAAAGTACTACTACTTGATAAATGCATGAATCTCTTTAACTAGAAAATTCATGTATTATAAAATATTTACACAATGGCCTATGTCTCTTATATAAAAAACTAAGTTCTAGTACTTGGAAGAATAATTCAAATATATATCTACGCAAGAATCACATGGGTTTACTTATATAATTTACATTGCATCATGCAATATATCAACTTAAGATAATTAGCAGTTTCTTTTTAACATCATTGCTACATTCAAAAAATCTTGGTAAAACTACAAAATACTACTCCTTCTTGAAAGACATGTAAAGAAATTAAACAATCTACAGCTAACTTCAAGAAGTCATATTTTGCAGTTTAGCTAAAATCTTTTTCTTTCATAATATCCTTACATGTTTTACATTAAATATGTGTTATTTATAGTGAACTTTGAACAATTATTCAAGTATACAACGAAGAATAAGTTTATAAGATTATCCAGTGGAGCATAACAGCAAGTATAGTTTACATTCGTACAAAAGTCCAGCAACCTTGTATGCAATGATATCTTTATATTATATGTTGCAACATTCAATCACATATATAAATAGTCCAACTGTGAGTAATATCAATAATTTAAAAAATGTTCAATTACCAAGGGATCCAGCTACGAAGTCGATGATTCCCGCTTTTAAGTTATTCAATTGCTGAACATCTCCGTCAAAAGTTTCCAGTGTCATTGTTGTAAATGAGTTTTTTTAAGGCTTTAATAATAATGTAAATACGGCACTGCCCCGACACGTGTTTTCTGACACCTACAGCACCCCTCCGCCCGTGTAAAGCCTCTGCGCATGTGCACGATTTATACCTTTGAAATATAACCTAACCTACGTACTAAAGACAATAATGGAGATTTTATAAATTTTGAGTGAAGAAGGTTTGTCCGTTGTTTAAAGCTTCTCATAATCGACTACACTGTCGTGATAGGTTTGTTATCGGATATTGGCAAGCTCTGCCTTTTAAGAAGCACAATTTCGATAAGAAATAGTGCGAGGCTTTACTCGAGTGCAGAGTAATTATTGGTTTTACAATAGACCAAGATAAAATTTTTGTTTATCTTCAATGTTCTAATAATTTTATTTTATCTGTCGCTGATTCAAATCGGAGTTAGTACGGTAAATAAAAATAAATATAGTTTATTCTTAGATTATACGCACTTCCGCTATGTGTCATATATTCACATAATTTTGCTAAATAATCGCCTTTAAGGCATTAACAAATTTTTGCATGGTATTTCGTACAGAGAAAATTTTAACTACTTATCTTATTAGCTTTTAAATTTATTGAAAGTACTTGGCAGTTGACATAAAGACTGATAAGATAAGGTATAATAAAGTTTATTAAATAAGAGGTAGAAAAACCATAACTATTTTTAGTCCTGTTAATGATCTATATCATATGTATAGTATGTCTACAATGCGTATAAGTCGATGATGAATTAAATAATGAAATTCTATTATGGAGTAACTATAACCTCAGATAAACCATTGTGCAGAATGTAATAATGATAAAATCTAATTAATTTGAAAATATGATGCCGAGTTGACGACGATGAAGCTTTGTAGAAGAATCTCACGAATTTCTTTTAGCATTCGTGAATTTACAGTTGGTGTAACAAATATATTTGGTAGGAATTGAATATGATAAGGAGCTCATAGAACCAACTGGAATAAACTATTTTACTCCATTTTGCCGCTTCATATCGTTGCTAAGTAACTCAATGAGGAATGAACGCCAAAGGGTCGCCATAGAAACGCAGTTCTGACGTCTAGTAATAAAAAATTACTTGACAAGGACCACGTAACTATCCGAAATGTAAAACGTGATTAATACAGTCAGGTAAACGAATACTCTCGATGGTATATTCGTGATTTCTAGACCGTGAAGATTAAATTTTCCCTTTGTTTTTGCTAGTGTCATTGAAAAGTCTCTATTAAAGTTCAACCTGATGGTAGATCTGGAAATATCACTAGATAAGCGTGTTCAAGGCACGCATGACGTACGCGATATTGTATAGTTCCAAAACAAGAATAATCTGCGTGTTCTTTAGAAATCTTTAGCCTCGGATTTGGAGTTTTGAGAATTGAAAAATTCCGGATAATCTCGGAAGTGCAAGGAGCTTTATAGACGGTTATGAAAGAGTAGTCGTACGATGGAACTGTGATCTTTTGGGGTATGCGTGCCGCGGTCAACCTGCCATGATAGGTCAGAACGCGTCTTCTCCTCACGGCGAAAAAGTCTGAGATTATTGCCGAAATGCGAGAATTCTGCTATAGGGAGCGGTTCTTTACGGTAATTATATCCTCCTTTGGATACTGTGCTTTATCGTTGGATGTTCTTCAGACGAAAACGGGCCGACGTGGCTTGCAAATTTAGGAACGAATGTGTTTCGGGGATCCCTCGGCTCCCTCTGCGGCCATTAGTGAACAGGGCATGGTCGCCAGGCCCCTTGTCAAATTGTCAAAATATTACAAGCCCTTTTTCCTGTCCGATGGAAAATTTGTGCGGTTCTGGATAGAGCTTTCTCCTTAAGTTTTCCTAGTAACGTTACAAGCGTCGTCATTGTTTTCTTCACTAATTTCAACATTTTTTTTTCTTATTTCAGTCAAGACCTGGGAACTTGACCCTGTGATAGGATTAATTTGTCCTCAGCAAAACACCACTGTTTCCTCACGATACACCTGTTTCCTTCATCATTTTCCCAATAACTGCATTCCTTCTTTGACGTTTGAATTATTTATAATTCCTTGTCACAATGATAGCATTTATAAATCAGTATTATAAAGTGGACTGAACTTTGAATAGTGAACATTTACATATAACATTTTGATATTTTATCTAAATTATGGATAGAAATGGACTGGATGGATCGGCTTTAAAACATTTTATATCAATACTGCTCTTGGTGTTACGATTTGAGAGATGCAGATTATATTTATTATGTTTGTATTCTGCCATTGTCAAGAGAATTAATGCTGTGAGTGGATAGATCTGATGTCTACTTAGCTGTTCTACTTTGCACTTCATTAATGAGATATCTTATTTTCATTGTAATTATGTTAATTTGTAACAAAGAAAAATGTAGATTTTATTATTTATGTTAGTGGAGTATTTTTAATTTAACTTTCATTATACCTTTTGTCTTGTAATCAATCAATTTTCAGTAGTTTGCAAATGAATGTGCTCTCGATTTATTATAACAAATGATCAAAATGCGTGTATGAAAAAGAATTTTTTTTTCATTTCTTCTAGTGCTGTAACATTGATGCTCCCATTTTGCGATAGCATGTGATATTATTATTGGTCACAGCATCGTTATATAGTAGTACATCAACATGCTCCCTTCCTTAATGCAACGAAGAACACTTATTAAACTAATACAAATATTTGACATATTCTTCTTTAATGAATTCGTCTTGTTGATTCAATCAACTGTCATGTTTGCAGTGAGAGCAAGGGTCGCATAATGGTGGTGGATTGCCTATCAATTCAGGGCTCAGCAGCTGCAGCTAGAAAGCAGGAGCGGAGATTGGGTGGCTCTGTAGGTACAAAAATGCAGCCCAATATGGTTGGTGGTGGAGGTGGCATGACCCCCAAAGAACTTTCTGATAATGATGATCTAGCTACTTCTCTTGTACTAGATCCTTATTTGGGTTTTACGACACACAAAATGAACATCAGGTAGGTTACCAATAAGTGTGCCCTTTGAAGAGATGTACATGACTGATTAAATAGTACGAGAAGTATAAATAATGAATATATTTTTTTTCCAATAGATACAGACCACTCAAAGCTAACAAAGATGAGCTCCGTAAAATCATCACAGAGTTCATTCAAACGCAAAACTATGAAAAAGCTTACAAAAAATTAATGGGTGGTGATTGGGGTGCACGCTTACCCCATACAAAATCTAAGCAACAGCAAATAAATCTCGAAAAACATGTAAATACAAACTAAAACATTAGTCAATAACAGTGAAAAAGATTCGATAGTCATTGAATGAATAAATAATAATTAACTTTCAGATTTATCGGTATTTGAGGGTATTCGACAAGGATTCTGGATTTGCAATCGAGCCTTGCTATAGATATTCTCTGGAGGGTCAAAAAGGTGCAAAAATCTGTGCAACACGTAAATGGCTGAAGCATGACAAAATATCCTGTCTCGTTGGCTGTATAGCAGAGCTGTCTGAGAAGGTTCGATTCGAAAAATCATAAAAAAGAAATATTTGTTTACAATGTCAAATTACAGGAAGAAGCTGCTCTACTACATCCTGGGAAGAATGATTTTTCTGTAATGTTCAGTTGTCGGAAGAATTGCGCTCAACTATGGTTGGGACCCGCTGCATATATTAATCATGATTGTCGAGCCAATTGCAAGGTTCGGTTTTATTACAATCAGTCAACTGTAGCATCCGGTTCTGTATAAGCTCAAATGTTTTAAAAGTCTGATTGCCCGTCTTTTTTCAGTTTGTTGCGACTGGCCGAGACACAGCTTGCGTTAAGGTTTTGCGTGACATTGAAGCAGGTGAAGAGATAACTTGTTTTTATGGTGAAGATTTCTTTGGTGATGGTAATTGTTACTGCGAATGTGAAACTTGCGAAAGACGTGGAATGGGAGCTTTTGCTAATCAAAAACCAGGGGAAGAACTTTCCTCGGGTAGGTATAAGGAAAGTCCGTAATCTTGTCAAAGAATCTAATCATTTTTTTACAACATAAATATCAACTTAATATCGTAAGATTAGTTTTTAACGGAATATTTATTTTTAGGATATCGTCTGAGAGAAACAGATAATCGTATAAATCGAACAAAGCACAGACAGCAGCCTCTGAATGGCGCTAAACAGCAGACAGATGGAACTCTCACTGAGAAGAATGCATTTCTCGTTGGCAATGCTGCGGTGGCGCCACAATCTCTTAGCATGAAAGAGTTACGAAGAAAGGGACTAACCAAATACGATGCTGAGTTATTAATAGCTCAGGGTTGTAGATTTTCCGATATTGCTCAGCAACAACCTGCTATAGTAAACAACAGTGAAACTTCACAAACAAGACCCCACGTATCGTCAGTTTCCACAACCAGAAACCTCAGGAATAAACAGCAGCAGCATCCTGCAAAGACTGAAAATAACAACAACAATAGTCTTAAAAATAATCAAAGTCTGAGGGCTTCAAGGTAAACTGGATTTCATTTTATTTTGTGTTTCTCGATTGGTAGACAGAAATTTACATGATTTTCGTATTTTTTTAACAGGCTACAAAAAAGAACAGAAACCAAAAGAAATCGTGCAACTGAGGATGACAGATCTTCACGTTCCAACAGCTCAACTACAAATAATAGAGAAGAAGTTGAAATTGGTCATAGAAAAGAAGATTCTGATAGAGTGGCGACAGGCGAGTCAGAAGGTTTCTCTGGTTCGCCAAAGGAAGAGTGCCAGGATGATTTGGACAAAGATGCCTTCAGTGATAATTGCAGACTCGACATTTCTCATGGGAATGGAACTAATAATTTTACTGACTTGGACCACCGACTTTGTACCAGTTTCGAAAAGGAATGTCCAGAGAAAATATCAAGATGTCAAACAGCAGAGAACCTTATGACAATGGAAACTGAAGAGACTTCCGTGGAGGACCAGTTTCTTCAACAACACACGATTCACGTACAAACCAACAAAAAGGATCCTTTGAAAAACTCCACCTTTGGACGAGCTCACTTATCAAATACAAATGCCTGTGGTACCAATCGCTCGAATCCGGTTTCTCATGTAACCGAGCATCATTCAAAATTTGACTCCCATGTTGCTTTGTTAAAATTGGAATCAGGTTTGCGCGAGTCGATGAATTCCTCTAAGACATCTCTTAGGACTAATTGTGCAAGTAAAAATGATCAAGAGGATAGAGACAATGCTAACATGCCTGTGGAGTTGGCAATGTCGGGCGATTCCGTTGGGGGTTATACGGAATCTCACAAAGTGCTTTCAATCTCCAAGGAAAATAGCTCTACAGCTTATAGAAATGGTCAAAGACGAGTGGATAATGATCATCGGAGTTCTTCGATTAAAGACAAAGATGTCGAGGAATATAGTTTCAATGGACTTGATCTCGATGAAACTGATATTACGCTTCACGCAGTAAATGAAAGGAATGGTCAATTTCATGGGTTAAACATTTCAAAAAATATACCTCAAGAATCTAAACAGTCTTTGCCGAAGGAATTTCATAGAAAATGTGAAAAGTCCACTGATGCAACGGATTTTTCAGATAATGATGAATTCAATAGAATTAATGCAGCAACTGTGGAGTGTTTGCGTGGGAAGAATCATGAATTCGATCTGAGATCCGGCGATGTTAAAAAAGAACGTAGCAATGAGATTCAGAGTGAGAATACCATTCTTCCCAGAAAGGAAGTTCAGGTAATGAGTCTGAAAGACCGTGACGAATCCAGGTCGCATAAATACGACAATCCTGATGCACATTCACCTAACCTCGATTTTGATGAGACTCTTAGCAAGAAAGAAAATCAGGATGAAGATTCACTGGAGCAGAGTGAAAACTCTGACGAAACTGGTAACGTAAAGTCTGATAAGAATCGTCATTTCATCTTGAAAAGATCCTCGCAAAGACGAAATGAAACGTCGGACAAAAGTTTGCGTTCGCGTAGAAACCACAAGCGATTGAGACAACGTTCTTTAAAGTCTAGGTCGGAGAAAGATGACGTAGAAGGTCAAGAAAATATAAAAGATGGTACATCGGTATCGTCTTCATCATCGAGAGGTCGTGGCAAAGCAAAAGCAAATGGCCGACTGACGAGAAGTCAGAGAAGGGATAGAGAGACGACAGTAGCGGCACCCGTGGTGGGAGTAGCAGATGATGATTCTGGAATTCAAGGTGATATTTATGAGTTCAGTGAAAAAGAAAGTAACCTGGAGGATCTGAGTACCACAACGATAAGGCGCAGCAAACACGAGGATAGACAATGTTCTCAAGTGACATCACGCCTGGAAGATAATCGGTATAACGAAGAATCAAGGAAAACACAACCTCCTGTTCTTTTACCTCAAGAGCCATGGCCTCCAAATGAAAAGCGACAGATTCAGTCAGTCGATTCTGACGGAAGCTGTCTATCCAGAGACAACTTCGCTGAAATCAATGCAAGTCGCACCAGGTAAAAACATTTTGGATACTCTCAATGATTATTTCCCACATAGAGTTATTAATTCACAGAATATATGCATATATACATTTCTTACAGGCTTGAAGATAGTGGAAATTCAAAAAAAGCTCCACCATTGCCAGATTGTCAATGGCGAGCGAATCCAACGGATTGTCGAGTTTGTCCAGCTACACCAGAGAGAACTGGTGGCAGATTGAAGCTCACACTGCGAATGAAACGCTCGCCAGTCCTGGACGACGTAATCGAATCGGGTACCAGCCTCAGCGAGGACAGTTATGAACCTGAATACGAAGTTTTGAGAGTCGAAGGTGTAGATGACGCTAGACGACGGAAAAAGCACAAAACCAGAGACAGAGAAAGGCGGCATAAGAAACGTGAATTGAACCTGGATCCTCCGCCGCCGCCGATGAAGAGGTTACGTCTGATATTCGGCAACGAGACACACACCATAGATCTACCGCATTCTTAACGGATAGAATTCGGTAATTATAGCATATTAATGTTGACTATCGCAACTATGAAGTATAATTCGAAGTTTTTAAATCGTAAGGAGTCTGTGTCCAAGAGTTCGAGCATAAAGTTTTAACTCTCCTTTCGTCACATTCATCTTCTCAAGTAGGCTCTTCTCATCCCACGCTATCCCTTTATTTATCTACCCTTATTAGATAACTTAACAATTTTCCCGTTAAATCTTATTCGCTTATTGTTTCATCCTAGAGACAATCGTTCAAACGTCCTTATCATCATTATCAATTGATTATCCCAGGTTGGAATTAATACTTTTTCTTTTCCTTCGGCCTTATCCTCACATGAGAATATGTGCCAAGGAGTTAGAATTTGTGACCTCCTTGGTGCGGGTCATGAACTATTTACAGAGTTGAAATGAGTGTTCAATGGTTCATGCGTGTGTGAGCTAATACGACGAAGTGGGGGGTCAGATCCCAAGAGAGGCAAAAGTTCAATCGTCATTACGAATAATCAATGATCCTCCAAAGAAAACAAATCTTCGCTGTTACCTAAATTCAAATTTTGCCAATCTCAATCGACGGCTGCCCCCCCCCCCCC